GACAATTATGAACCCAGCAGTCGAAATTTGAGAGAGCGAGGGTGGTGACCCCGGGGCAGCGCATGACCAGCGAACGCTGCACACGAGGGTTCCCTACAAAGAGCTCGGATTTGTCGAGGTGCAGAGTGGCGAGCAGCGGCGCGGCGTAGATCACGCCTTGGAGTAGGTCGAGCGAGACGCTGCACAGGTGCAGCCGCAGCTCCACGAGCCGAGGGAATTGACTACGGAACACCTGGTCGTAGTCCACGCACTTGCTGAGGTGCAGCACGCGGAGGGACGTTGACGACGACAGGACGCCTATGCTGAGAGGGTAGAGAAACTTGGACCAGGGTGTGTCCGAGCACGGGCCGTAGAAGAGCCCGATGTGGAGTTCCTCTAGGTGGCGGGCCGCCTTGCCGGACAGCAGCGCCCCGAGTCCTTGGGCCATGCCCTGCTTTGCTTCGAACACGGCGTCTCTGAAAGACGGTGACAGGTAGGCACTGGGGTAGTCGTCCTCTCCTTCCGTGTACCTGAACGTGAGCGTGGTTACGCTGCGGCTAGCGGCGGCGAGAGCTTCCTTGGCGTCACGCATGATAACTTGGCGCTTCTTGTATCAGTCGAGATGGTCGTAAGAGCGCGAGTCGAGGTTGACGGCGCCGGATGCGCGCCAGAGCGAGCGCCACCGCCGCCCGAGCACGCCGGTGGAGGCGCCGTCCTTTGCCGGCAGGAAGTACATGATGTGGTGTAGAAGGTCATCGGGGAGGTCCGAGAGTCGGTCGCCGCCAGCGCCAGGCATCGTTTCGTTTCGTTGGATCAATCGATCGAGGAGCTTTTGCACTACCTGATGGACACAACGCGGCCGATCGACCTGTTTTTATACAGGCATATCTGATTCCGACCGCCACACGAAATTGGGAATGTTTCCAATTCTGCCCGCGCGGGTGAATCGGCCGGCCAGGAGACACGAAATAACGGACACGCACATCCATATGTCATCTCTATTCCTAAGGGCATGTACAATGGTAGCATATGGATACATATGCCTCATAACAAAAAATAATTTGAGGCATCTATATTAATTTTTTCTCTTCAATGCAAGCTATCACTAATGGATTTCATTAAAAAATAGAAAATAAAGATTTTAATACACATGCATCTCTACTTTTCACTCCAACTTTTTCAGCTTTTTCATCGAACCATACTTTTTCTCTTCAAGCACCCGCCTCCTGGAGAGGATCCCGCTTCCCTATCCAAACCTACTTTACGTCATATCCGATCCTACATGGCATGCGAGGCATCACCTTGAGGCTATGCATTATACGTGTCCTAATGGAGCAGTTGGTAGTCTCCACCGGTCAATTTTCGTCCCACCACTTTTGTCTGGGTTTTTTCGCCGGTTAACCTTCGTAGATTTTTTTGGTTCCGTCCACCACCTCCCCTCCGCTGGTTTTAGCATCGTGACAGAACCAATCCCTCGCTAGCCCTACCTCCTCTCGTGTCTCCAGTCGCAGCAGCCGCCGCCGCCGCACCCCAATCCAACCCCGCCGCCGGCGATCTCCTCGCCCCCCTGTGCCGTCGCCTCCAACCTTCTATTCCTCTCCCAAGGGAAGGGAAGGGAAGGGAAGGGAAGGCAAGGGAAGGGAGAGGGAGCGCCCAGATCCACGGCGGCATCAGCGCGTCGTCCTCGACCTGATCCGCGTCTGTCCACGGATGGGAGCTAATCGGCACAGGAAATCCCCGTCCCCGCGTCCGAGCCCCGCCACCCTCCGCAACGGCTCGACCGCCCATCGACGCGCTGCCCCCGCGGCGCCCGACCAGTTCGGCTCTCGCGGCTGGTGGACGCGCCCTTGCTGTTGCCGACGTCGGCTCGCTGCGCCGCACTGGCCCTCACAAGCGTCTTCTGTCAATGGTTACAACTCACGTTCCTCTCTATTTTCTCTTTGAATTTTCTTTTGAGCCGGTCAGGAAGCAAGAACATGTCGATTGACATGCCAATTGGAGATGATTTGAGGAATTTTTACATGTTTGGTAGATGGACTTGAGAGGTCAAGGAGTTTCCATTGGGACATCGGGACATGCTCCTCCATCTCCTCCGGTGGACGACATCCAACATCGCCAGGTAGATTACTGTTTTTGCAAATTCCAGTTCTTGATGTTTAAAACTGGATGATCTGCACCAAACCCCTCTATTGTTCTATTTCTGCTTAAATCTGATTTGGTTGTTCAGTTCATGCACTTATGGACTGAAGAAAAAAAATGGAAATGAAGAAGAAAAGAATAGCAATATTATCATATGCGAGGTTTGCTTTTAACCTTGGTTCCTAACCAATATTTGCTTCATAATTCTCCCGAGAGATTCACACTGTCATTCATATTATGAATATAGTTCATAACCAGTATTCTCTTTTATCTAATTATATGTACAGAAAGGAGTAATCTGAAGTGAATTCATGCTATGTTAACAGTCTAACAAACATCTTGGAGGTGTGAATGCTTTCTTGGGTCTGACAAGTAATCAATAATTGATGGTATACTGGGATTTTTCTCATACTTCTAGCACTTCCTCATTGACAATAAAGCAAGTAGTATCACAACAAAGGCTATCCAGGTATTTTTTTTTCAACTATAATCCATCCAACTTTAGGGACTGCTCAATTGGATCTGCACAATCCAACAAAATAAATGTACATAGTGTCTGCGACACTTTCATCCGATCATCACGAAGGTAGTTGTAGGAGTAAAAAAGTATGTCATACTATTTTTTCAGTTCAAGCCAAAAGGCTAGGACAGGTAATACCTGTTTTTACAGTACTTGTGCAAAAAGTATGTCATACTGTTTGCTCTAGATGATTTTGATGAATTTTACAACCTTATTTTCAGTTGTTTACCCCAAAAAATGGTCTGCTTTCATGGGGTTTATTGAATCCAGGAAAGAACTGTGAGTAGTAGCGAACCAGACATGAAAAGTTTCAGAGAACTACGAAAACTCCGGTCAGTTTTGTCGGGATCTTGTGACACAGTTCCAGGACTCTATTGACTAAGGAAATGATATATATGTGTGATTTATCCTGTTAAAACTTTTAGTGTTCACTTAGGGGTGAGTGCAACCAGTAACTGAATTTAGACTACGAACTAGAGTATGACAGTAAAGTCAGGAGCATGATGGAGAACACACGGGACATTGAGGACTAATGGTCACCACTTAAATCTTGCTTTACATACAGTTCAGTTCCAAGTAGTCTGATACATAGATGGCGAGGGGAGTGCTGATTTGGGGTTGATTTTGGTAATTATATATTTTCCTTGATGACTGTCATTTTGTTGTCCTACATGTGCTATATGATATGCATAACAACTTGAGAGCACCTTTGCTTCTCTTGATGTGCTTCGTCATACAGTTTTTTAAAGTGCACAAGCAAGCTTGCGAGTGATGACAACTACTATGACCTACAACCTTGAATCTAGGTTTCTGGGGTTGAACATAGGGGCACAGCGCGCTCTCCCATCTAACCAGTGAAGCGTAATGAAGGAAAAGCTACAGTATACAAATCGTCACAGTCATTCAGTTTGTCCAAAACTGAGAAAAGCTCTTTAAAAAAACTGGGAAAAGCTCACATGATGGAATGAGATGAGATTTCAACATCATGATTGCGTTTTATAATTTGAACAACCAAAGTAGATTGTCGGGGAAACTGATCCTCGAACACCTATGGGGCCGGCGGACCGGGCCCCTTTCGGTTCGGCGGGGGGCGGAGGTCGCACGAAGAGCAGATCGAGGCAAAGCACACGAGCAGTTTACCCAGCTTCGGAGCTCTCCGGAGAGATAACACTCCTACTGCTGCTTGTCTGGTTGTATTATCTTGCCTTCTTGCTCTAGAGAGAGAGAGTAGTGTTTTCTGGGCTACGAATGAATCGAACCGAACTGTCCGAACCCCCTCTACGTTGCGCATGGGCCTCCTTTTATACGCTAAAGGGGTCACCGACAGGTGGCAACGCAGAGGAGGGTACAAATGTAAAAAGTGAGGTGGTTGGTACAGTTGCTTGTACAGTGTACCCTACCTAACCCTGACGGCAGGGGACAAGGGCATTAAATGCCTGTCTGGGTCGCCCAAACAGTGCAGAAAAGGACCGTTAGGGGCGCCACCGTTCGCCACGATGGCGATCCTGTCAACTTCGCATGCCACTGCGCACCGCTGGCTGCATAGCCTCCCGCCACGCGCGCCTGGAGAGGCCCCCAGGGCAACACGTTGGTGGATGCGCTGGAGCGTGGGCACAGAGTGGCCGCCTGCCGCGGCAAGCGCCTTGCCGCTGCTGTTATCTTGTCGGGTCCAGAAGGTTGTCGCTCACCGGGCCTCGAGGTATCTGGGCTGGTCTTTCCGGCAAGCTCCTCTTGCCGGGGCCTTGTTGCCTTGTCGGAGCGCGTGGCGCGTCGCGGCAAGTTCCTTGGCGTGCCTCGGTTGGCCTTCCCGGCAAGCTCCTCTTGTTGGGGCCTTGTCTCCTGAGGTTAAATACTTTGTTCTTGAATGGCTCCAAGGAAACCTTGGAGGATCTTGGCGTTCGCCCGGCAAGCCTTGCCGCGGGGTGCTGCAACTGCCCGTGCACAAGTTCGGGGTACTAGGGTACCCCTATTCTAGTACACCGACAGGAGCCCCCGGGCCTGGGCCAGACACAGTGCCGAGCGCTGTTGGGCCAGGTCCAAGACAGGGCACGGGCACACGCGGACTGGGCCACACCAAATCTCGCTCCGTATCCACCGCGCTCTCCCATAACGGCACGCGTTGAATGCGGCATCATGGGAGAGATCGTGGGTGGTTGTTTATTCGGAAGGGCGAAACGTCCGCCCCGTCCCTCTTTATAAGCAGAGGAAACAGGGGCAGTTCGTTCCCCCTCGCTGGTTGCTGCTACTCCATTTTCAAGAACCTTCGCCACTCCCCTCTTCTTCTCGAAGCCGAGAGATCAGCGCTCCGCCCCCCATTGCCACCAGCATCACCACGCTGTCGACCTCCCTCACCACCTCCGCCATGGCCCCGAAAGCCGACAAGGGAAAGTGCGTGAAGTCGGCCGAGGCGCAGCGGCTCGCGGCGCTGCGGAAGGAGCGGGCGATCTTCTCCCCTCAACTCGGCATGCAGGAGCTGAGGGAGTACTTCTACCTCTTTTGGGCGACAGATACGCGTGCGCATCCGCGCACGAGGGTACTCCCGGCCGCTGCTTCGGAGCTGGCTCCAAACGGGTACCCATTCTTCGCGCTATTCTTCTACTGCGGGCTTTGCCCGCCCTTCTCGGAGTTCTTCTGCGATATCATGAACACATACGGCTTCCGCCTCCTTGACTTCACCCCCAACGCCGTTCTGACCATGGCAGTTTTCGCATATTTGTGCGAAAACTTTGTCGGAGTCCACCCCAGTGTTGCCCTTTTCCGCCACTACTTCATACCTCGGGTAGAGAGAGGAGAGCCGCTTGTCGGAGGGATCGCCTGGATCTCGAGAGTCGACAAGAAGGAGGCGTACTTGGAGGGTGAGCTCCGCAGCAAGTGGGATGAGTGGAGAGCGGAGTGGTGCTGGATTGTCGAGGAGAATCCGCAGCCCTTCACCGCCATGCGCCAAACTCCAATAGTGCGCGGCAATGACTGGAGCAACGTGGCCCCGGAAGACGAGAGGCTGAAGATCGCCATTACTAGGATCCTTCGCCTCAGGTTTGCCGGGCTTACTGTAGGCGCTGTAGACGCAGATTTCCTCCGCCGCCGCATCGCCCCCCTGCAGGAGAGGGGGAGGCCGCCTGGGAATTCAAGAACTCGGCGGACATCATGAGGTTGCGGCCGGGCCTCAACTACAACTTCACCGTCTTGGAGCTGGATGCGATGCTCCTGGAGTTGTTCAAACGCGACCCCCAGCACCCATTCACGCTGCCGAGGGGCGTTGTCCCATTATGCAACAATTCTTCGCTTGACCGGATCCGCGCCATGATGTCGTTGTTTGATTCACACGAAATCGTTCCAACTTGGCAAGAGCCTGCGGATGACGTCGTGCAAGCGTTCTTCGACAACTTGGAAGAAGTGCCGGTCCACGCTGACGAGCAGAAAAGCCTCACCCGTGACACCACCAACGAGGAGCTGCAGCGCATCGCCACTAGGGCGGAAGAGGTTGCGGCCGCAGCTGCCGCAGGCGTGTTTGGGTTCACTGTGGAGGAGGCGGAGGCTGCGGAGGCGGCAAACCTTGCCGAGCGCGCGGAGTTCATGGGCGAGGAGGAGCCTGCCGGTTCCGAAGCCGAGCCGAGCGAGGCCGGCGAGGAGGAGCCCGAGCCTTCAGAAAACTTGCCGCAGGCGGAGTCCCCGGCCCCGCCAAGAAGGCGCCTTCGCAGGGCCGGGGACGCAGCGGGGCGGCAGCCGGGTCAACAGCCGCCGAGCCGTGCGACGCGCTCTACCGCGGCAAGCAATGTTGCCGCGGGAGCGCCTCACGCAACAGCGGCAACTGGAGCGGGATCTTCCCGGGCCACCGCCACCGCCCCCGCCAAGCGGGCAAGGGATCCTACTCCTCCGCCTCGCCGCGCCGGAGGAGGGACGGACTTCGATCTTTCCGCGCTCAGCTCCGACGAGGAGGAAGAAGAGTAAGTTTCTTTGGTGCTCTTGTAGTTCTTCAATCTTGTTGTTTATATCTTGTATCTGACTTGCTTCAATCTGGACTCCTTTCTTTTCAGGACGCTGGCCCAGAGAGCGGCGAAGAGGGCCAAGGCCGCGGTGATTTTCATCGAGGATGATCCCATCGTGTCAGCAGGAGGTGGGTCCAAGACCACCTTGACGGACCCGGCAATCACTCCTCAAAGCAGCCCCCAGCGCAGCCCCCAGCGTAAGTTCATAGTTTTTTCTTTGCTGTCGGGCGCGCATGAGTGCTTTTTCCTTTATTTGATATCTTGCTTGTTGATTTGTGCAGGAGCAGAGCAGTCACATCAGGAGCGCCCGGAAGCTGGTCCCGAAGTGCCACCTACTTCGACTGTGCCGCCAAGGGAGGAGTCCCCGGCAAGGGAGCGCTCTCCGGCAAGGGGGAACTCTCCGGCAAGGGACGGCACCGTTGATCCTGCGGCGACCGAGGCCGCAACTGCAGATCTTGGCACAGGTAATCCACTTGCCCAGAAACTTTCCCTTGGGTTCTTCTTCTTCTGATTTTCTTCCCTTGGATTTTGGATTGATTTTTCTCCCTTCTTCGTTCTTCAGACCCATCTGCGGCTGAGCCAATGGAGACAGAGGGCGCCGGCGAGGAAGGGGCCGGTACTGACAAGGCCGCCGGCGAGGAGGCCGCCAAGGCTGCTGCCGCAGAAGCCGGCGAGGGGTCGGGCGATCGCACTGACGACCCTGAAGCCGCAGGAGCGCCAGGCGCTGCACCGATCGCCGATCCCTCTGCTGCTTCTGCGGAGCCGGCCTCCGAGGAGCCCTAGCCTGGCGCCTACTTGAAGGCCGGCGACGGTATCTTCATCAAGCTACCCTGGGCGTCGAGCTCCAGGGCGCCGGTCGAGGGGGAGACTTTTGATGAGGAGGTGCTCGCCTCCGCCGGACTATCGTTGGTTGACGCGCCCGGCAGCAGCAGTGGCAAGCCTGAGGAGGAGCAGCTGCTGCAGAAGCTGCTGTCACTCTACCGCGCCCGGCAAGCCAAGCTGGCTTCCTGGGAAGCGCTTGTCGCGAAAGCGGGAGCTGACATGGAGAAGCGCGCGGAGGAGCTCCGGGGCCACAATCGAGAAGCTCTCCGGTCCCTGGCGTAGGAGCGGGAGCGACTCGACGAGGAGCGCACGGCCTTCCTTCTCGAGAAGGCCGAAGCTGAGGAGGAGCAAAGGCTGGCTGCCAAGAAGCAGTTCGCGCGGGAAGGTGAACTAGTGCAGCGGAAGGCCAACCTCGACAGCTACGAGGAAGAGCTCGCCGAGCGCGAGCAGGCACTTGGCGGGGCGCTCAAGGAGGCAAAGGACGCCGCGACAATTGCAGAGGCCGCCAAGAAAGAGCTGGAGGAGAAGGTGGCGCAGCTGGAGGCCAACATTGGGAAGAGCGTCGAGGAGCTTGCCGCACTCAAGCGTGAACGTGAGAAGGATGCTGCCGCCCACGGCGAGCTGCAAGGTCTTTTCGCTGAGAGGGGCAAGGAGCTCAGCGCCGCCAAGAATTCCAAAGCAGACCTGGAGCTGAAGCTGGCCACGCTGTCGCAGACGCTGGAAGCCGCCAAGGAGCGGGAGAAGACCTTGTCAGAGAAGATCAAGGCTGACGCGGCGCTGCTGGAGAGCATTGCAGTTACCCAGAACTTGTTCAGAGACACTGTGGAGCACTGGACCGAGGGTCTGGTGAACATTGCTGCAGTCATCAAAGAGGAGCTGGCGCAGCTGGGGATGGAGGACTTTGGGTATCCTTCCGACGAGAGTCTTCAACCCAGCGCCAAGCTCAGCATGTTCTTCAAGGGCGTGGCAACGGCACTCCAGCGGCTCCGGGAGAGGTTCCCGAAGCAGCTGGCCGACGAGTCGCGCAAAATCTGCGCCGGGGCTCTCCAAAAGGTGCTGATGAAGGTGGCCTTCCGCAATCCAGGCCTCAGCTTCACCAACGTCCTCAGGTCCTTGCCGCCTGACGCCGATCTAGATGCACTCAAGGCCCTTGTCGCACCCATTGTGGACAAGGTGAGCGAGATCAAGAGGGTCGAGGGCGGACACGTATACTAGGCCGTCCATTTCTTCTTTTCCCTTGCCGCTGCTAATCATGTTATGAAAACATTCTGTTAGAGCTGCGACAAGTTATCTTGTAATATAACTTTATTTCTGTTATCAATTGCTATGTTATTTCCTCTACTAGATTCCTTTCTTTGTATGTTTTTACCCTACGCTTCTAGGAAACTTGTCGGCGCAGGCACCCGAGCCGCGAGCGCTGAGTGCGGAACTTCAGCAGCCTGCTGGCGGCGCTGCTTCTGACAAGAAACCTTGTCGCGACTAGATGCAGCACACTTAAGCTGTTGAGCGGACTTGAATCAAAGTAAGGGCGCAACTAGCCACGAGTTGGTTCCTCCGCGCACAGGTTTTGCATACAAAGCAGGGTCGTTCGAGGAAGATAACTCAAAAATTTAAAAACTGATTGCTCAAACTTTGGCAACTTAGCTTTTCTGTCGTTTACTTCCCGGCAAGGCAAGACTTCGCTTGAACGACGCCTGGTCCATACCACAATCTTCTCCTTCCCCCCCGGTAAACATGTGTGCGAGGGAACCTTCTTTTCCTTTGTTGAAAAAGAAGAAAGAAGAGAAAATAACGATATGGAGCCCTTCGGCTCGTTACTGCTTACCGGATGTAGGTGCTGCACAAAGTGTCAAATAACGCATGCGAGAAAGAAACTAATGCATGAAATGGACAAGTTGTGCGGAGCACATGGGGTTCTTTTTATGCACGGGATCTGCGCCCGGCTTTGTACAAAGGATTACATGCAACAGCGGCAAGACTTGTACAAAAGATGGTTGCCGGAACGGGGTTCCGGCAACCGCGCCCTACGGGAAAAACTTACGAAGATGTTCTATGTTCCAGGAGTTGCTCACCGGAATGCCATCTTCGGTCTCAAGACGGACAGCGCCGGGCCTTGTGACTCGTCTCACCCGATAAGGGCCTTCCCACTTCGGCGTCAACTTGTTGGAATTCTTGGCGGACTGAAGAACAAGGTCGCCTTCCTCGAAGCTTCTGGCCTTAACTTTGCGGCTATGGTAGCGGCGCAAAGCTTGCTGGTATCGAGCAGCTCGTACAGCAGCCTGAAGATGATCTTCCTCAAGGAGCAGCGCGTCGTCTTGTCGCAGCTGTTCTTGCTCAAACTCATCATAAGCGAGCACTCGAGGCGATCCGTATACGAGTTCCGTGGGGAGAAATGCCTCTGCTCCGTAGACTAGAGCGAAAGGTGTCTGGCCAGTGGCTCGATTTGGCGTCGTTCTGATCGACCAAAGAACCACCGGCAGCTCCTCGATCCAGTTTCTTCCGCACTTGCGCAGCCTGTCGAAAGTTCTGGTCTTGAGCCCGCGCAGCACTTCAGCATTTGCCCTCTCTGCTTGACTGTTGCTTCTCGGATGAGCAACAGAAGCGAAGCAGACCTTGGCGCCAAGGTCTTGGACGTACTGCATGAAGGTGCGGCTCGTGAATTGCGTGCCGTTGTCGGTAATGATCCTGTTAGGGATCCCAAAACGGCAAACAATTGACCTGAAGAACTTGACTGCTGACTGTGCTGTCACCTTCCTCACTGGCTGCACTTCCGGCCACTTTGTGAACTTGTTGATTGCAACGTACAAGTACTCAAAGCCCCCGACAGCTCGGGGGAAGGGGCCGAGGATATCGAGCCCCCAGACCGAAAATGGCCAGGATAAAGGGATCGTCTGAAGAGCTTGAGCTGGCTGGTGTATCTGTTTGGAGTGGAACTGGCACGCTTCACACTTGGTTACTTGTGCAGTTGCATCCTGGAGGGCTGTCGGCCAAAAGAAGCCTTGCCGGAAAGCTTTGCCGGCAAGTGCCCTTGCGCCTATGTGGTGGCCACATATGCCTCCATGTATCTCTGCCAACAGCTTTTGTCCATCTTCCCGGCAAATACACTTCAATTTCACACCGTTGAGTCTTCTTCTGTACAGTATGCTATCGACAAACTGGTACATACTTGACTGCCGGGCTACTCTTTCCGCTTCTTCTTGCTCTTCGGGAAGTTCTCCTGTCTGAAGGAAATGGACAATCTGCTGTGCCCATGATGGAGCTTGTGGCTCGACAACAAGGACTAAAGGCACATCTGCTGCTGCGGGAACATCCGCTTCTACGGCAAGGACTTGCGGCCCTG